TTCACCCACGATAAGAAAAGTAAGCCAAATACCAATATATATATATATATATAATCTAAACATAATAGTACATATTAATTGAAATACTTTAGAAAGAAAATAAAACAAATTTAAAGGTATAATTTTTATAAGGTGTTTTCCAAATCAATTTGTAAAAATATCTGTAAAATTATTTAATTACTTTTATAATATGTTTGAGTAGAGGGAAATAAAAAGAAAAAAAAAGAGAGGAAAAAAATTTTTGACTAATCAAATAATAATTTAATTAGTTAAAAAAACTTTAATCTTTCATCCTCTCCCTTATATTCTCTTCAATTCAAATATAGGGTTAGTAAACTCCATACCTGTATTAATTTATAAATCACATTTTACTCTTTATATAAAAATTATTAGACTCTATTTTATGTAAGTCCGCATGAAAATCCACATCCCCTATTATCAAATCCAAATATTGAATTCTACCGAAAAAAAAAAAAATCCAAATATTGAAGTTTGCCACACTAACATTGTAAGAACTGGGCCTGATTCTATGAAAATTTTCGGGCCCTACCCAAAATAAAAAGCCTCCTTTTGCTCTTTGCCAGAAAGCCAGCACAGCACCTTGTCAAGGCCGTGACTCTTAATGAACCTAAATCCTTTTTGGGCCATTGTGGACCTAAATCCTTAAAACGCATTGTTTCCTTTTCATTTTTTTTTTTAATCAAGAAAGCTTTTAAAAAAAAAAAAAAATCACAATCCCATTTAAATCTTTGATCTAAACTTTATAATATCGAGATTTTAAAAAGAATATGTAAACCCAAAAAAAAGAAAAAAGAAAAAAGAGAGAGAAATAAATGCTTACTCCATCGCCAGTCCCTCTCGGTTCCCTCCGTCTCCAATGGTTATATACACTGGGCCACATTGATCAGCCTTATTATCATAAATCCTAGTCTGCAGAATAAAAAAAAAAAAAATCAGAAATTAAAAATTAAAAGAATGATAATAATTTTTTATTTTAAAGGGATTGAAGAAATTAAGACATCTTGATATAAGATTCATTGAGGTTAATTAAAAATATTTAAAATTTTAAATGTGAGAATATGTAATTAAGCTATCATTATACCAAAATAATTAGTTCCATAAATTTTAGAGACCATACTTACAAATCGTTCGTACGCATGAACATGTCCAGCAAAAACCAAGTCTACTCGAGCCTTATACAACAACTTTTCCATGGCTTTCCTCATGCTCTCTCCTTCCCCCTTGTGCGCCGAATTCGTATTATACCACGGTGCGTGCAGCAGCACCACCACCCACGGCGTTTTCTCCCTGTCAACATTAGCCAAGTCCTCCACCAGCCACCCATACTGTGCCGACTTCTTATCGAAATTTGTGTAAGACCCCAACATCAATATATGAATCCCCGCAACATCAAATGAGTAGTACAAATTGGAAGTGGATCCGCTCTCCCTGTACGGCATTTGCCACCGAGCATTGTAAGCCTTGAAACCGTGAGGATAGATGATGGGGAATATCTCCGTCTCGTGGTTGCCTTCCGTCACCATCCACGGGCGGCTGCTGGCGTACGGCTCCACCAGGCGGCCGAAGGAGTCCCACAGTGGTTGTTGGGCATCGGCGTAAGATAGATCGCCCGGTAATAGGAACACGTCGTAGTCCTTGCTGCCCACATGTGCTAGTGTTGATGCGGTCCATTCCGTTTGTCCAAGATCACCTGAAATCATTTAAGTTAATGGATCAAATTACTGGGAGTATACATATATTTACCAAAAAAATGGATATCTCTGAAGAGTATCTCGACTGATTAATAACATGAAAAAATAAAATTTCAACTTAAACTTCAAACCTTTAATTGGATGATTCAGAAAAAGAAAAGAGTTTATTATCTTTTATATAATTTATCATTAAATGTAAAAAAAAATTAAAACATAAATCAAATCATTTCCTTAGTAGGAATATTTATTTTTTTAACTATAAACTGAAATATATTTAATATTTTCATATAATAAAGAAAAAAATTGCAAAGTGGTTTCGACTAATTTCTTGGATTGGATCCAATCTGAGTTTACCCATTTTTGTGGCCATTAAGACAATAATTCTTTAAGAATTGAAACATCTGTTATACTTAGCGTGTAACTTTCAATCTATGTATAAGAGCATTGGTTAATTCTTTTGTAATTTAAACTATATACTCATTCAGTCATTCTTTTTGTTCGAAAGGTATATGATTTTGGGTCAATTTACAAGTATGTGGAGATATATTTCTCTTTTGAGAATCTAAAGTTGTATTTATTATATCAGATTAATGTATTTAAAAAAATTTAATTTTTTTAAGTGTAACTTTAAAACTTAGAGTTGAGCTATAATATTACTTATTTTTCAATGAATCTAACAGCAAGCAACTTTTCTATCTGGTTTGGGAGGAGACAATAGAAAGGAAAGGAAAGATGAGGCAAGGAAATATCCTTCCATAATTTCCCTTTTCTCTCTTTCCATTCCCATACCTTATTTGATTATACTAAAATTATAAAGGAAATTAAAGCGGGTTTCTCCCCTTACTCCCTACAATTTTTATTATCTGTATAAAAAAATTTATTCTCCTCTCCTTCCTCCCCAACGGGTCTCCTCCCCCAAGCAAACAAACCATTAGGGTCACCGTGCACTCTTTAATTTTCTTTCTAGGTGACATTGCGTATAAGTGCATCAAAATCGATGACCCATTAACCAACTCTGCAGAAAACAGGTGTTTTTTCAGCCAGCAAAATAAAAGTAGGATATGCAGGATGGAAAACGTCAAATAGACGTTGACTCAATTGCTATTATTGGAAATTAATGCACAAGCAAAATATATTTTCATGAGAAACAAAAAAGGAATTATTTACCCAAACACGAAAATTGCAAGCACCAAACCGAATAGTACCACTTACCAACCACAGCGAATTCGATAGGAAAGGTTGCCGGAGGAGTCTTGAAGGAGAACTCCGGCCCCTGGCCACCACATCTGTAGTAATAGGTAGTCGCCGGCTCCAAAGGTCCAATCTTAACATAGTGAATCTTCCCGGATGTGTAAAAGAAGTATTCGTACTTCGTACTCTCGCCGGTCACCACCGCATTATAATTCCCAGGTTGTTCCCCGTATTCAACCTTAGATTCCACATGTTTGTCCTCCGTCACCCACGAAATTCTCATGTGATCTTTCCCCGCAAGGGAAACATGAACCTGCATTAAAAATAAAACAAAGAAACAGGTTTCAATCAACAAGCTGTTATATTATATAGTTCATAATAAGATGTTTAAAAAAAAAAAGAAATTAGCGAAAGGTAAATACCTGTTGTGGGTTGGATTTGGATCCTTGATGCGGAGTGAGAACGAGCTTGCGAGGGGGCTGACGAAGGTAATTGTTCTTGGCAGCATGAGAATATGGAGAATTGAAGGAGAAGAAGAAGAAGGATACCAAGAGGAAGCCTAATAATTTTTGGTCCATGGTAGTCTTTTGGGGTCTAGAGCAAAGGATACAGAATGGGTAAAGGATTTTGAAGGGTATAAGAAGGCATTGTTTGGCAAGGGTTTGAGCTTCAGAAATTGTAAATTAATTAGATAGCAATGGCGTAAAGAAAGTCAGTTGGAATATTTTTGGCATGCTTCCATCAACGGTGACAACGCTCGGAAAACCCCCTTTTTTTTTTCTTCCATTTCTGTTTTGCAGTTTGGCTTTGTGATGCCTGAAAACGTGTTTTAAATGGTTACGAATTTGATGATGTAATTTCGAGATTTTAAATTTAAATTTTAAAAATTAAATTTTTAATAATTATTTTTTATTATATAATTTATCACTTAAATTATTATGATAACTAAAAGGTATTTTCGCTTCACGTGACAATTCTTTTTATATTTCATTAATAATAAATTTGATTAAAAAAAAATGACTTAGGTGTAAGAATTTGCACCTCTCTGTGTATGAGTTTTTAAATTTTTTAATTTTAACTCAAAACTTTTAATTTTTGATAAAATGATGATATTATTAAATTATTTAGATTATTGAAATTTTAAATGTTAAAAAATCATTAACGATCGATTTAAATAATTCAGTGGTAGTCTTTTTTTGTTAAAAGTAAGAGATTTTAAATTCGAGTAATATAATATGTAAATGAGATTGGGTAAAAAATGAAAAAAGGTTGCCTTCCGTCGTGCGATCAACATAAAAAAAAATTAAAAAATTATCTCAAAAATTTGAATTTCCAAACACAAGGGAGAGAGAGGCCAAACCGGATGTGTGAGACTTGAGATTGAAACCAAAACCTTAACCAGAAGAGCATGGGCATGGCAATGGAAACCTAAATCCGAGGCTGCCGCAGTCGATGATAATTTATTTCTTTCTTGTAGTAGTATTAAATTATTCTTAAAGTTGAGGGTTCCAAGTCGACAGAGTATCTTTTTCCTTCTTGATGTGCAAAGTCGACAGAAGAATCTGGCTCCAAAGAGTTAGGCATGTTTAATTAAAATTAATTAAGACATAACATATCCAGATCCAACAATAATAGAGCTTGTTTTGGGAATTTCGAACACTACTTTTAAATTAACCATGTTCACAAAGTGATACCTAGAATATGCTAAGAATCTGCTCTTTCGAGCCAAAGTCACCTCAACTTTGTCCAAGGCTAATGAAATGGGACAATTAGGCTGCATTTTGAAGTGTTATGGTTGGAGTAAAAACAATTCAATATGTAGGAGTGAGTGAAAAAATCAGCAACTGAAAAAAATTTAAAATTGATCAATTTTATAATTAGAGAGTTAGGTTTGACCGAGTTTTAAGTTTTTCTAATTTAAGCTCGATTATAAACTCAATTTTTATTAGGTGAGTTTTGGTTATTAGGATCTAAAAACCAAAAACATAGTACTGGATTTAATATAACCAAATTGTTTAAACTTTTCTATTTTTTTTTTTTAATTTAATGACTTTTAGGCCTTCTCGCCCATTTTCAAAAACTTTAGGCCTTCTCCTCCCGTTACTGCCTACTTCCACTGTAAATATTGGCTAAATTAATTTTTTGGCTTAAACTAAATAATTATTTAAAAAAAAAATAATCAAAACAGATAAAACTATTAATTTTGGTTTTCTATTTAAAAAATAATTTGATTAATAATTATTAAAAATTAGTAACCAGTAATGTACGTAACTGGTAATTCAACCAAACCATAAACACCCCTATTTTAAATCATGTTTGCTTTAACTTCTAGAAAACAACTAACACTAATTGTGTTTCTTGTTCATCATGTCTAATTGAAAAGGATTGAGTACAGTTGACAAAAAAAAATGACATGATTGATTCAATTAGATTCCAAAGTGGCTTCAATGATGCATTCGTGCCGACATGTTTATGTTTTTGTCTTTTAGGGGTACTAAATTCTACTCCAACATTTTTCGTATAAATTAACATTGAATCTATATATTCTTTGGCAATTGTCTAATTGGTCAAATGGTTGTTCAACCATCTTATTTAAAGCGGTGATGTAATAATAATTTTTTATATAATATTTTTATATAATTTTTATATATTATTAAATAAATATATATTTAAGATTATAAATTTTAATTAAATAATTAAAAAAATCATCTCTAAATTATTTTTTTTCTATATTTAAAAACTACATGTAAAAATAAAGGGATTTTGAAATCTTATATGATAAGAGAAAAAGTCAAAAGATCAATGAGAGGTACATGGCTCTCTCAAATGTAGTTAAACAAAAAAAATATGTATATCATGAGTTGATTATTCACTCTACTTGATTCCAATAGAGACATCTAATCATATCATTGTAATTGCTTTTTCGTGTAAGATTTGAGAACTTCAAAATTCAAAGCAATTATGTACAAGGTAGAAAATTTTACCAATATAGAAAGTTTTTATAGTAAAAATTTAAACTTGTGTTTCTCCTCTTTATTTTTTTCTCATGACAGATTTAAATCATTTGCTTTAGTACTTTAAAAAAAAAAATTTCAAAGCAATGTACAAGGTAGAAATTGAATGGGATTAGATTAACCAAAAAAAGTCATAAAAATATATAAGAAAAAAGATTGCTTTTTTTTTTTTAATGATAAGAAATAATTTTTTCTTCAAACAAAAATTTAAAATTAAGAGAGAAAAAAAGGCTTAAAAAAAAAAAAAAACCTCTACCAGACTGACCCACCTTGAGGGGAGTAGTGCATGTTTCATGAAAGTTTAATTTTATAGAGCTAAATTTTACATGTCATGATGATTGGAAGGATGGTTGAGTGAAGTGTCGAGATTAATTTGGCCTTAATTGGTGCTGATAAAAAAAAAAAGAAAAAAATTGACCTTAATTGGCTTCGAGAAAATTACTGATAGGAGGACGAAAATTCAAAAAAAAAAAAATAGAATTAATAATGTGATTTATATTTTATTATTAAAATAATTGATATGTATATAATATTATAAATCTTAAAAAAATATAAAAAATAATTATTAGATACTATAAAATTTATGTTTTAATATTTTAAATAATGTGATGTAATTCTCGTCATTAATCTCATATTTTTTATTCCAAATTTTAGTCCGTAATACTTGATAATTGCATCCTATCATATTCCGTTGGCAGCTAGGTGCGTGCGGTAAACGATTAAGCTCAATTAGATGAAATTGTTGGAAATTTAACAATAAAAAGAAAGTCAATCGAAGGAAAGTTTAGACTATGCTGCTGATAGAGTCGGATTCATATATAT